TCCCAAGTCCCGGAGGAATTCCACGATGACGCAACACGCATCCTCCCAGATCTCATCAAGGCTATCAAGCCTCCCTGGTGAGCCGCCCTCCGAACCCCTCACGCCTCCTGTGCCTCCTCAGGAGACTGGTTCATGCTTTCGGACGACCACTATTCCATATCTCATCTCGCCCTCCATGTCGTCGCCTACATCCCCCCTTCCTCCGTCTCGGCAAATGTCCACCTCGTCTCGCCAGACCATCGCATCACCCGCACCCCAGCAAATATCAGACTCTTCTATCTACAAGACCTCATAGAGGTGCACGTCCGTGACTGGTGGCTCGCAGGGCCACTTCATACAGGGGCAGGGTTAGGAGCTAGGGTAAAACTTCTACAGGACGGCATCCCCAGCCTCGCCGATATCCGCCGCCTCCTCTACTCAGCACAGCCGCTCACTCACCACAGCCGATGGACCCGCAACCTCACCCTTCCTCCTCCTCCTCTCCCTGGCCTTACGGACCCCTTTCTCAAAGACCAGCCGAGCCGCCAACGGGACATCCTCTTCAGACTCTACACATTCACCCTTCCCTCTGGATCACGCTTCCAATACTTTGACGATCAAGGGGTCTGCCCCGGTGCCCATATGCCGTCGTCGAGACACTGCCGCATATCTTTTTTGAATGCTCCTCCGCCGGAAATGTCATCTTGGCCCTCCGCACAATCGCTGACCGCCACCTCGGACAAACCACCCCCACCGAACACATCTTTTTCCCGATACAGTCACGAGTTGGACAGTCCCCCCCTTGGAGCCTACTAGTTGGAGCTGCAGTTAAGACGCTGTGGAACAGCCGCTGCGACCACAGGTACCGCAACTCCTCCTTCTCAAGCTTCGAGATCCTGCAGCTGATTCTAGCCCAGTTCCTCATCGCCTTCAAAATTTATATGTGGAGAGGCAGACGCCAATATGCCAAGAAGCGTCAACGCATATCCTCTAGCATCAGGCAAGCACATAAAGTCCAATTCCTCCTCTTCGACAGGACTGGTACACCCTCCATTCACCCCAACCTCCGATTCTCATGGCTTCTGGGAAACCCGTTCCGACCACCTTAGCCAGCCATCGCATAGAGCGTCTCCCCAGGCAGCTGGCGGTTGTCCGTTAGGACATGAAATAACGTGTGTTCCACGTGCTCCTTTTCAGGATGCTGGCCATCTCGGCCATGTTTCTAGAGAGCTGTATGGCTTTAATCTCTGTACATTGATTACGATCAATATATAACCTTAACTAACGTCTCTGTTTGTTTTGGTTTGTGGGCAGGAGCATGAGCGGGCGAGGGGCGCGGAGCGCGGTTTGGAGCGCCGAGCTTGGAGCAACCGAGTTTGGTAAGTGGGTCTGGGCCCTGGGTCCCTGGGTGGTTCGTTAGGAGCGCTAGTCAGAACGTTAGGAGCGCTAGTCAGGACGTTAGGAGCGTTAGTCAGTTTGTTAGGCTCGAATTAGGCTTAGGGTACATTCCTGTGGGGACACTTGTGTCTCAATCACTTTGTGACACCCCAAAACAACATAAACTGTGTTGTGTCCCAAATGCGAATCGCCTTTCCGCGACTTGTATGTACTGTATTTATTATTGGTCAGCGTAAAACGCGGTGACATCGCTGACGAATTGTGAAACCACCCGTCATTGTTAAAGAATCGCACGCGACTCGAAATGCCCGACACGACTCGTGCACCTGGACATCCAAAAATGCCAATTTTGCGAGGGAAAGGATCCCGCGCATTGAAACCACGCCCCTGCTCGGAGGTTGAAAATACGGGTGTACTGTCACCCAATCAAATGTACACAACTGTACACCTCTTTTTGATCGCAGCCAGGGCCTCAGATTCACTTTTAGGGTCGTCGACCCATCAGGGTACCCCTGTGTAGAAACCCTGATTGACAGTGTTCCTAAAAAAAAAAAGGCTGAAATATCAGTGTTGCCTTTGAAAAAAGGCTGATGCATCAGTGTTCAATAATATAAAATGCTGTTATTATTAGAAATCTCTATATTGCTAAGCTAACATGCCTCATGAGTCATCACCAGCCGTGCTATCATCACTGCCCTTAGCCTTTGGTTCTTCTCTCTCCTCAGCTTGTGACACCAGTACGTGACTGTGCTCTGCCGCAGCACACACCCCGGCTTCACTTCTGCTTGCGACACATACAGGTTGAAGCTGCAGGGGCAGGGTTTGGGGGGAGGAACCAGATTGACAGGCAGGGTGAGGCAGGGAGAGAGGAGGGAAGACTAGCACGGTTGGGGGGGAGACGACCGGGGGAGAGAGGGAGTGGATGGAGTGCGGGGTAAAGGGAGCGGGGGAATGGACGGCGAGCGCGCGGGTCATGCGCGGGTCATGCCGTCGCGCAGCACGACGCTCTGCGCGCTGCCCGCGGCGCAGATGGTCTTTCAACTGCGGTTCGTGCTGGCAACCAGGCAGCCTTCGGTCGTCACCATTAGCACAAAAAACTACGCGTCGTCGAGTCATAGCGGGCCTGCGACGCCGACGCGAATTGCCACGTGGCCGACGACCATCTCGCACGCGCTGCGGATCGCGTCGAACGGGAGCGATGTGTTCGGCGAGACAAGAGGAGGTTCGGCGGCGCTCGCGATGGGTTCGATTCCCGACAGCCCACCGTTTCTGGTGCTGATGGCGCCATATATTAGTGCAGACGAGAAAACGCGAGAGAAATCGGGTTGAGAGGGAGGGAGAGAGAAACAAGAGATATTGGATTGGAGGGAATGGGAGCATCAGTGCTTGCCAGCACAGCCAAAGGTGCAAGAACCTCGCGGCCCTCCAGCACCACATGGTTGCCACATTTCTGATTAGCCAATACTTCATGCTACAGCGAAACTGCCCAATGGAGTGCTGGCACCGCATGAATCTAATATTCCCTTTAATTGCGGGCAAATCCACACGGAACGGAACAAGTAAGAATTGCTTTCAGTGTTAGTTCCGTTACAACGCTGTGGAATCAGTGTACTTGGGGAAAAAAGTCTGAAATTTCAGAGTGTCCTAACAAAAAAGGCTGAAAGATCAGTCCCACAAAAATCTCAACACTGATTTTTCAGTGTAGGTAAAAAAAAGGACTGCCAAAATCAGGAATTTCTGGGTATTTTCCTGATATTTGAGGCCCTGATCGCAGCCAATGAAACGTGTCCAACTGAACCTGCCAATCTGTCGCCCTACGTCGCGGTACATTCGATGTTTGTGACACAACATTGGGAAAATTAACAGGCGCGACTCGGGAAAACGGGGATTGAGACACAAGTGTCCCCACAGGAATGCACCCTTAGCTATGAGACGTGTTAGCCTTAGCTAGGTTCGGATCTGGGTTACTGTAAGGAAAATTCCTTTTCCTTACTTCGCGCCCCTGCTCAGCGCGTACATCACTGTAGCACCACAGTCAGCATCGTTACCACTCGCAAACCTCGCATCGACAATCCTCCCGCCACCTTCGTACGTCGCACCCGACCTCACGGCTCGGCGGGTAACCCGCGCTCCGGGCCTCCGCCTCGACATTTCCCAACCACAGTCCCAACCTCAGTTCCAGGCCCGTCGCGCGTCAACCACAGTTCATTACCGCTACAACTGTAGTTTCGCTATATATTCTTCGCTCATGCCTTCGCTCATTGTACTCTTGCTTCGATAGTGCAACTCTCGTTCAATCACTCAATTGCACTCGTAACAGTTACGATCTAGTCTGGACCTAGACTCGATTTAGCTAGAACGTTAGGTTCGGACGGTTCTGTGTGTTTAGGTTAGGTTGGGCCTGTTTTTGACTCTTGCCTCTCTTCCTCCCACCTCGTGCTGGGGGAAACTCGAGAAGGTTGTGCTCGAGGAGGTTGTGCTCGAGGTGTCAGCTTTTTTTTTTGGGTTGCATAGCAACCCCTTTACATTTGGTAGCACTTTTTCGGTCGACTCGAATGAACAGTGCACATTTTTGTCATATTCCCAACGTCTGAAGCACTAGCTTTAACATTTTGAGAATGTGTGCTTCAAATGTGTGGAGATGACAGCACTGCTACACAAGAGTCTCCAAAAAAAGTGAAACCAAATGAGACCAATTGTTCCATAATCGTCGATAAATACGGCGAATGGAAACAATTGGTAGCAGCCTCGCCATATTTTACGGTACATCACACAATTGACGAGACAACAAATTCAGCGTGGATGCAAATTACGGATTTGCATCTACCGTGTCGAACATGTGCACAACGACAACAATCAACAACAGCAAATGGCATAAAGTGAATGGCAAAATGCATCAGTGCTACAATAGCGATGGATCCGGTATGCTAAGGCGAGCAACGCTGCCCCAACAACGATCCCCACCTCAATTGCAGACCTGACACACTTTAACACGACACCTTACAACAAACACGAACGAGCACATGCGACATTGTACTGGTACAACGAGGACAACACATAACAATAATGAGGGTCTTGGGGAGAATGCTAGACTAGAATGCATCGATGATGCAACAAAGGTTGGTCTGGCACGCTAAGGCTATTGCCCCACCGGCGATCACAACCTGAGTTGCATACACGAGGCACTTCAGCACACACCTTGGGACAGACACAAACGATGCAAACAACACGACTGCACATGCACACATAGGCTCACACACACACACATACACACTGACACGCACGCAAACAAGCACAGATACATATGGATAGTCAACACACAACCAACATGAGATTCAGCTATTAGTAAATCATCACTAGCCAATCACCCCTTACCCTCCCTACACCCCTCCCTACACCCATCCCTCCCTCCCTCCCTCCCTCCCTCCCTCCCTCCCTCCCTCCCTCCCTCCCTCCCTCCCTCCCTCCCTCCCTCCCTGCCTCCCTCCCTCCCTCCCTCCCTCCCTGCCTCCCTCCCTCCCTGCCTCCCTGCCTCCCTGCCTCCCTTCATCCCCTCCCTCCCTCCCTCCCTCCCTCATCTCCCTCCCATTGCCTCTCTCATCTCCCTTCTCCGCCAAACATAATCAAAGAATGCAGCTTACGAGCCCTGCACAAAGTAAAAACAGAGAATGCAACACGCCCTGCACAAGAAAGCAAAAACAGAGGATGCAACTCATGTGCCCTGTGAGGAGGCCAATTGGGAAACAACTCACCCACACTGCATAAGAAAGCAAAAACAAAGAGAGTACACCTCATAGCATTGCACAAGAAGACAAAAGCAGAGAATGCAGCTCACCCACTAGAGACGAAATAAGCACAATGGAAAAAGATGAGCAATCGATTTGACAGCTCACAGAGGTAAATTGGTATTAGTCGTGGCACCACAGATACTACACCAGCATGATGCCATGCCTTGAAGCCACCCTCAAGTTCAACTTCACACTCACGTTCGCACTCAATCTTGTACTCAATCCCGCACCCACTCACACACGCACAAATACTCTCAACTTTCTTAGACACACTCACAGAAACACACATACAAACCTACACGTTAACTCTTGCACTTACCCTCGCACTCATGATCATTCTCATTCCAATCATACTAACACAAATACTTCCACGCGCACGCAAGGACACTCACACGCACCCTTGCACTCACACTCGCACTTGCTCTTGCATTCACCCTAAGACACACACTTGCACGCAGTCTCGCTCTCAGCCTTGCACTCACACGCACACCCACTCATCCTCGCACTCACCCTTGAACTACCCTCACACTCGAGCTCACACTCACCCCAAACCCTGCACCATCATATTTACTCTCGCACATGCTCTAACTCTTGCTCTCGTTCTCACCCTCGCACTCACCTAAACACGCACCCTCGTACTTCCTCTCATATTCACCCGCATACACGCACTTGCACGCACCCTCGCACTTACCCTCAAGTACATGCGCGTACTCACACTCGCAGTCACACCCGCTTTCGCACCCGGATACCGCCCTCTCACCCTCACACACTCTCGTACTCACTCTCGCAACCACTCACGGACGCACAATTACTTTCAACCGTTCTTAGACACACCCTCAGAAACACAAACACACACCCTTGCACTCACCCTCGAACTCGCGCACTCACTCGAACACTTTCACACTCACACGCACACACAGTCGCCGGCACGGTGGCACCCTTGAACTCAACTCACACCCACACCCACACGCTCACACTCGCCCTCGAACTCACCCTCGCACTCACTCTTCTACTTGCCCTCACACACCATCTCACACACCCTCGCACTCACACCCGCGCTCACGCTTGCACTAAACATCGCAGCCACCATCGAACTCACCATCGCACTCACTCTTGCACTCACCATCGCACTCACTCTTGCACTCACCATCGCACTCACTCTTGCACTCACCATCGCACTCACTCTTGCACTCACCATCGCACTCACTCTTGCACTCACCATCGCACTCACTCTTGCACTCACCATCGCACTCACTCTTGCACTCACCATCGCACTCACTCTTGCACTCACTCTCGCACTCACTCACATGTAATGTACTCTCAACTCTTCTTCGACAATCACAGAAACACTTACACAAACTTTTGCACTCATCATCGTACTCACCCTAGCACACTCTCAAACGGACCCTCGCACTCCCCCTTGCACTAACACACACTCACACTCGTTCTCACCCTCAAACTCGCCCTGGCACTCACTCCCACAATTGCTTTCGCACTCACACTCGCGCTTACGCTCGCACCTGCTCTCTCGTTCACACGCGCACTTGCCCTTGCACTCACAACCGCACTCACCCGCAAGTGCACGTGCACATCCAAGTCTCGCCCTCACGTCGCCCGTGCCCAAGCCGCCAGCAAGTGCAAGCGCCCACGGCGCCCGCGCCCACTGCACCAGCGCCTTAGGCGCCAGCACAAACGGCGCTCGCGCCCAAGGCGCCAGAGCCCCCGGCGCAAGCGCCCACAGCGCCAGTGCCTCATGGGGCAGCACCCACGGCGCTCGCGCCCTAAGCGCAAGCGCGTTAGGTGCTAGCACCCACGGAGCCCGCGCCAACGGCGCAAGCGCCCACGGCGCCAGCGCCCTAAGCGCAAGCACCTTATGCGCCAGCGCCCATGGCGCAAGAGCCTTAGGCGCAAGCGGCCAAGGCGTCTGCGCCATAAGCGCAAGCGCCTTAGGCGCCAGCAACCACGGCGCTTGCGCCCACGGCCCCAGCGCCCTAAGCGCAAGCGGCTAGGCACAAGCGCCAATAGGGCCCGCGCCGACGGCGCAAGCGCGCACGGCGCTCTCTCTCGCGCCTCTCCCTCTAGTGCTTCCTTAGCTCTCACGCGCGCACTCTCCTGCGCTCTCGCTCCCTCGCGCTCCCTCTCCCCCCTCTTCAAATAGTAGTGCAACGCAAGAGACCAATCAACACACAGAAACTACAAATACGATAGGAAAAATCGGAAATATAGGACCTTTCAGTAGGGGGAAGGGAGGAAAAAAGGACAGGGAAAGGTAAACGCACCTGCAATTCACGGTGCAGAGTCAAACCCGCGCTCGCGCACCGGCTCCCACTCGCGCACCAGCTTGCTCGTGACCTGTCGACAGAGTCGGCGGCGGGATGGGAGGGAGAGGCGACGGCGGGATGCGAGGGAGAGGCGACGGCGGGATGGGAGGGAGCGGGGACGGCGGGAGGAGGGAGCGGCGACGGCCGATGGGAGGGAGCGGCGACGGCGGGAGGAGGAAGCGGCGACGGCGGATGGGGGGGAGCGGCGACGGCGGATGGGAGGGAAAGGTGACTGTGAGGCGGAGGGAGAGGCGACGGCGGGGAGGAGGGATGGGCGACGGCGGGGAGGAGGGCGAGGCGACGGCGGGGAGGAGGGATGGGCGACGGCGGGGAGGAGGGAGAGGCGACGGCGGGGAGGAGGGAGAGGCGACGGCGGGGAGGAGGGATGGGCGACGGCGGGGAGGAGGGAGAGGCGACGGCGGGGAGGAGGGAGAGGCGACGGCGGGAGGGAGGGAGAGTCGACGGCGGGAGGAACGGAGAGGCGACGGCGGGAGGGAGGGAGAGGCCTCGGCGTAGTGGGAGGGAGAGGGGATGGCGGGCTGGAATCGAGAGAGGATGGCGGGGTGGGAGGGGAGTAGCGATTGAAAGGTGGGTGGGAGGGAGAGGCGATGACGTGGTGGGTGGGAGGGTGAGGCAACAGCTGGTGGGGGAGGAGAAGTGATGACGGGGTGGGAGGGAGTGCGAAACAAGAAACTACAGTGAGGGCGTGGAACATTTGAAAAAAAAGTCCAAACGAACCGTACGGTCTGAACGGTATAAAACGGTCTATTCAGAACGCGTTACGTTTGAGTACGTTATAGTACGTTTCAGAACGGTATTTTTCCGAACCGTACCGTTCGTTTCGAAAATTTCTCAAATGTTCCTCGCCCTAAACGAAAACGTTGGGGCAATCTGAAAGCCAGCACCGAACTTGGGCACTTGGAATTCAAAACAAAAACCAAACGCTGGTGCCACGTGAGAACACACGGATAATCACGTGAAATTTGTGTGAGCTGGAAAACAGCATGGTATATCTCAACGCGCCGACTACATCCGGGTGCAAAACGACGCGGCTCGGAAAAGGGATCTTCTTTACCGCAAACCACCGCCACTCACCACGTCATCTTCCAGCCTCACACCACCGAAGCCTCGAAAGTGGGCGATTCTCTCAGGCACAAGGAAGCGGGCAACAGCCGGGTCAGCTAGGGCTGGATCCAACAGAGTGTCGATGAAATAGCAGCCCGGCTCGACTGTGATCACCTGGAGAGAGAGAGGGAGAGAGGGATGAGAACGGGAGATCAGGGGAACAGGCGGGTCGACAATAGCAGCCTGGCTCCGCTGTGATGACCTGGAGAGGGGAGAGGGTGAGAGAGATTTATGGAAAGCGGAGATGAGGGGGAGAAAGGAAGCGGGCAACAGGCGGATCAGTAACGGCTGGGTCCAGCGGAGAGTCAATGAAGTAGCAGCCTGGCTCCACTATGATGACTGGTTATGGTGAAGGGGAGAGAGAGGATGGGAAAGGAAATGAGGAGGAGAAAGAAAGCGGGCTACAGGTGGATCAGCAATGGCTGGTTGAAAGAGAGAGTGGATGAAGTAGCACCCTGGTTCCACTGTGCTACTTCATCCACTCTCTCTTGGAACCAGCCATTGCTGATACGCCTGTAGCCCGCTTTCTTTCTCCTCCTGTGATGACCTGGTGACGGGGGGCCGCGAGTGAAGGAAGAGTGAGGGAAGTTATTTGAAAAAGCAGGTATAGGGAGGGGAGCAAGCAAGGGTCAGCAAGGGCGGGATCCAAGAGGAAGTCGATGGAGTAGCAGCCTGGTTCCACTGTGATGACCTGGTGAGGGTGAGGGTGGGAGAGATGGAAAAGGCAGATCAGGACAACAGGTGGGTCAGCAAGGGCAGGGTCCAGAAGAGAGTCCGGCTCAAGTGTGATGACCTGGTGAGGGGAGAGAGAGATGGAGAGGGTGACGGGAGAGAGAAGGGGAACACGGAAGCAAGCAACAGCTGGGTCAGGAAGGGCTGGGTCTGGTCTGGCAAAGTGGGGATGATGGGATGAGGGACTGAAAACAGGAGGAGGAGGGATGCTCCGATGTGTAGTCGCACTAAGAGAAGCTAACCACACACACCTTGCGATGCTAAACCATGCCGTACCATGCTATGCTAAACCATTCCGTACCATGCCGTACCATGTCGAACGACTCCATACCATGCCAAATGGTGCGGTGCAATGACAAATCGTGCTGTACCATGCAAAACCATATTGCACCATGCTGCACCACACTGTACCATGCCATACATATCAAAACATGCCGTGCCATAGCATACCATGCTGTACGATGCTGTAGAATGACAAGCCATGCTTTACCGAGCCAAAACACGCCATACCATGCCAGCTTCCAAGTGCCTTGTTGTGCGAAGAGACTTGGCCCCTGGCTCGTTCAACCTCTCTGCCTGCGAGTGGCTCAACATGGAATGGGAGATGGAAGAGAGCAGGATAGGAGCGGGGTGGTGGAGCGGGGTGGTGGAGCGGGGTGGGGGAGAGTGAGAGGGGGTGGGTTTGAGAGAAGCAGGATAGGGGAGACAATTATTTCCGTGGTTATTGCAGCTTATTTGGGTGCATCCAACAAGTATGAATGTAGAGCTGTGGCACATAAATTGACTGGAGCCCTTACATTGTTGTGGCCACCAATGTCATGCGCGCCAACCAGCTCTTTACCACAACTCGACTAAAAAACCACATCAAACCAAGTTGCAACTACAAGCCCCTGTAGTTGCAGCTTGGTTTGATGTGACTTTGAGTCACCTTGTGGTAAAGAGGTGGTTGACACGCATGACGATGGTGGTTACAATAATGTACGGTTTTGAGTCGACTCAAGAGTCACATCAAACCAGGCTGCAACTACAGGGGCTTGCAGCAGTGCGTGAAGGAGTGGCATCTGAGCTGAGCCCTTACGTTGCTGTAACCACAAACATCATGCTCGTCAATGCCAAGAAATTGCCCCAGACCATGCGGCATGACCGTGTGATATATACTACCCACGCACATTGACGCCCCTGAATCCCAGACCATACAGCATGACAGGGTGATGCCCATTAACCATGCACCTTGCGCACTAGCACTGGGCCCTTACGTTATTGTAGCCACCAACATCATGTGTGTCAATGCCAAGAAAGTGCCCCAGCCCATGCGGCATGAACAGGGCTCCCAGGTGCTGTTCCATCATGTCGTCAATAGACCTGCACTTGTAAGGTGCGGTGTAATGTGGTACGGTGCGGTGCATGGGGGTAACATTTAGGTCGAGACAGAGCTCCCAGGTGCTGTTCCATCACGTCATCAATCGACCTGAGCAGGGATGGTGCGGTGCAGAGCAAAGAGGGTCTTGTTTGTGAGGCGCTGCAAAAAACAATGGAGCACACCCTGCAGCATGAACAGAGCTCCTAGACGGTGGGATGGTACTGACAAATCATGTCGTCCACAGACCTCTACATGTGCCAACAGAGCACCTAGATGGTACTGACAAATCTCAGAGTGACGTTGAACAGCCTCAAGAATTTTAAGAGGTGGCAACATACCCCTTGTGCCACATCCCCAACAAGTGCCACCTCTCCCAGAATCTCCGCACTCACCCCTGCAGCAACCCCCCTCCTTTGAGGTGCTCCAGAATGGTTCGCTCTGATAGCCTGGTGTGTGGGAGGGAGGGAGGGAGGGAGGGAGGGAGGGAGGGAGGGAGGGAGGGAGGGAGGGAGGGAGGGAGGGAGGGAGGGAGGGAGGGAGGGAGGGAGGGAGGGAGGGAGGGAAGGAGGGAGGGAGGGAGGGAAGGAGGGAGGGAGGGAGGGAAGGAGGGAGGGAGGGAGGAAGAGAGAGAGGGAGATTATGAGGGACAGGAGTGTGGTGGTGAGATGGAACAGAGTGAGACGAATGGAAAGAATGGGAGATTTGGAGAGAAGTGGGAAAAGAACCAGAAAAAGTCTCTCGCAGCAAGAGTTGGAAGAAAGGGATGACTCCCTTCCTCATATGTCCCTTCAAGTTATGTCTTCCAAGTGGGACCCTTCAACTCGCCTATGCATGTCCACCCAGCTGACTCCCGGCTTCATTGCGCCAAACACGGCTCTCTGTGCTGCCAGGACTGCCTGGATACGCGTTCAGGTGGAAGAAAATGCAGGAGGAGCGAGGGTAAGGGACGAGGATGGAACAGAGCAGGTGGGAAGGAGGACGGGTTGGAAATCGCCAATTGACTCAATTGGAAATGGCTGGCGAACGCAAACGGGACGAAGGGAGCAAGAGGGGGACTCCTTGAAAGGTCTTGGGGGAAAAAAAAGGGGGGTAAATATATGTTACAGAAAAATTGAGTATGGGTTTTTGAAATTTGCAATGAACTTTGAATAGGGGGTAAGAGGCAGGGGATGATGACAAGGGAGAAAGAAGATGAAGGACGATTGGAACTAGAAAGGAATAAGGTAACACAAGTGGCAACAGGGGGAGTACAGCTCAGGGAAACTAGAAAAGCTAATTGGGTTGGTGGTGCGTGGTGTGCGGTGCGTAATGTGGTGTGGTGTGTAATGTGGTGTGGTGTGTAATGTGGTGTGTGGTGGTGTCTGTGTGCATTGACCTCACTCACCTCATACACCAGCCGTTGATCTGCAGTGAATGTGCCATTGACCTGCCATGGCATGGCATGGCAGAAGGGGTTGTGTGTGGTGGTGTTCGGTGTGGTGCATTCCTCTCACCTCATACACCAGCCGCTGATCTGCAGTGAAGGTGCCATTGACCTGCCATGGCATGGCATGACATGGCAGAGCGTGGCATGGCATGGCATGGCATGGAATAAGGCAGCACACTTGGCAATTACAACAAGGGGTGGTTGGTGGTGGAGCGACCCATGGTGGCATGGGAAGGAATCACGATCGCAGGACATGTGTGCGGTGCAATACAAAACTATCGAGAGGACGCGCAGTGTGGAATGTCATGACAGCATCGAGGCCTTTTCTTACGCAATGTTCTGATTCTATCCGCCTTTGACAGCACGCGCAGTGTGGGATGTCATGACAGCATCGACGAACACAACAGCTACACGTGACAGCATGGAAAGACATGGTATGGCATGTGTGAGTGTGAGCCATACATACAGGGAAGGAGCATGTGATGTCAGCGCCATATGTGAAATACTCAGCCCCCATGTCCAGAAGTGCCATGTCCCCATCCCTGCACTCCTGCATGACACAATGGGAGGGGGGGAGAAACCTGGTTACACTTCATACATGTCTCAAAAGTAAATACCACGTTGAAAAGCAATGCTGCTGTAAAAAATTGCTCTCAACAATCATTAGAATATCCGAGTCATCCTCCGATGCTCACCCTGTCGTTGGGAGCGCCCGCATGGCTGTAATGCAGAATGCTGCTGTTGGGGCATGTGCCGCACACGCATGTGTACCTGGCTATGCCATACAACAACCATGCTCACCCTGTCATTGGCGGCACCAGCATGACCGTAGTGCAGAATGCTGCTGGTCGGGCCCGTGCCGCATATGCATGTGTATCCAGCTAAACCGCACCCCCCAGCCACCCGCACTTTCAGGAGTACCTTAGAAGGATTCTCACCCTATCATTGGGGGCACCAGCATGACCGTAGTGCAGAATGCTGCTGTTGGGGCCTGTGCCGCATATGCATGTGTACCCGGCTAAACGGCATCCCCCAACCACGGCTGCATGGTGCAGAAAATCCGCCTCCATCTCATACTCCATCATTCCTGGTCGCACTCGCTGAATCACCTGAAAGCACAGGGTGCAATGAAACAGGGAATGGTGAGAAGGACAGGGTTCACTTGCATGGTGCAGAAAATCCGCTTCCATCTCATACTCCATCATGCCTGGCCGCACTCGCCGCATCACCTGAAATGAAAGAACAGTGAGGTGAGACAAAGGCCGGAGCGAGACCGTTTTTTGTTTCAAGTTTGCTTGCATGGTGCAGAAAATCCGCCTCCATCTCGTACTCCATCATGCCTGGCTTGGCCCTGCGCATCACCTGAAATAAAAGAGCGGCGTGAGGAGAGACATAGGGAGCACAAAGGTAGGTTCTTAAATCATGTTCACTTGCATGGTGCAGAAAATCCGCTTCCATCTCATACTCCATCATGCCTGGCCACACTTTCCTCATGACCTGAAAACGCGGCAAGAGATGACCCACAGGGTGCCATGGGATGGGACAGGTTTTTCATTCATGCTCGCTTGCTTTTTGAGAATTCTCAAAAAACATACGGTGCAGGAGATCCGCCTCCATCTCATGCTCCTCCATCATTCCTGGTCGCACTTTCTGCATCAGCTGAGAGAGCAGCGTGAAGTGAAAAAAGGCATGTTCGTGGTAAAAAGGACAGGGTTCACTTGCATGGTGCTGCAGGGAATCCGCCGTTATCTCATACTCCATCATCCTTGCCTTCCCTCTCGGCATCATCACCAAAAAGAGAAGGGCGTGATCTGATCACACACGAGGGTTTCATGCTCATTTACAAGGCGTTCTCTCATGTCCCGGCAATCGAACCTCTCTGCACTGCACTGCATCGCGCATGATCCACCTCTGCCCAGTATTCCACCATGCAGGGAAGCATGGACAACCAATTCCTGAAGACACGCCAGCAGCAACAGCAGATTGCAACCACCCATACCCATCCCTCCCTTATCCACCCATCCCCCGGGCTCGTTTATTCCCTATCACCCATTTGAATTCCTTTGAACCCACCTCCACATGAGCATCAGATGACACAGCAGCAGCATAGCGCATCACTCGAATCTCCTCCTGGGATTTGATCACCCGGCATTCGCTCAGTTCTGGGTGCAACACCGTCAGGTCCTGGGGAAACGCGTCTATGCCCTGGTGGTTGGGGGGGAATACACGGCCAAAAAAGTAGAAGATGCTGGAATCAGATCACATGGCAGTGGCTGGCCTAGGCATGCAACACGTATGCATAAAATGTCGAGTTTTGAGGCGCCTCAAAACGCAACACGTATGCATAAAATGCTCGTTCGCAACTCAGCACACGTGCTCTCTCAAAGCATATAACTTTACATTAAATCCTGTGCGCAAATTACATCAAATTGGGCTGGCTCACAGGAGTCGCCGCTGTCAGTTTTGATCCCCTTCAGGAGGAAGAGAGTCGGCAGGCTGCCGCCACTTTTGAGGTACTTTTAAGCAAAACCCGACTCACATCGAAGTGGGCTGGCTTGCAGGAGTTGCCACTGTCGGTGTTGATCCCCTTCAGGAGGAAGAGAGTCGGCAGGCCACTGCCACTCCCTGCTGCTGCTGCTGCTTTCAGCACTGCTGCCATATCCTCGATATAGTGAACCTCGTCCACTCCATACTTGTCCTGCTCAACAAACACACGGCAGGAGGCGCAGACGGAATGAGGATGCTGAAATCACTCAACCTGCTGATGCTTTCAGCACTGCTGGCATGTCCTCGATATAGTGCACCTTGCCAACTCTAAACTGAGCCCCCTAAAGAGCAGCGAATCCTAACAACGGCCAGAGATTGACACAGATACCTTAATCTGCTGCTGGGTGTGCAGAGGACCCATCCACACAGCATAGAAGTCAAGTCAGGCAAGTGAAGCATGAAGAAGAAAATTTACGATCCGACTTAAGAAAAGATTTACTGGCACACCTTGATCTGCTGGTGGGTGTGCAGAGGACCCATCCACACAGCATACGAGTCCGGCAAGTGAGGCATGAAGAGGAATGACCGCGCTGGCTGCACTGATACGTCCTGCAGAATTCACATATCAGTGCAGGACGCGGAAGGGAGGGAGAGAGGGAGAGACAGAGGGGTGCGGAAGTCGTTTGAGACAAGCCAAACGCTTGTTGAACTGACATGTGCTGCTGGGTAGACATGGTGGTGGGCGCGGAAAGGCTGGTGGGTGGGTGTCAAGTCACGCTATACTGTACGTCCCAGCGCAGCTAGCCATGTGACTTTTGAGTCGACTCAAAAGTCACCAAGTCACGCTACGCTGTATGTCCCAGCGTAGCTAGCCATGTGACTTTTGAGTCGACTCAAATGTCACCAGGTCACGCTACGCTGTATGTCCCAGCGTAGCTAGCCATTTTCCTGAGGCGCCTCAAGTCAAGCTACGGTGTAAAATCACGCCCAATGTTCCAGCCCAACTAGTATGTCTACCAACACGTGCATATCACAGCGGCATAAAAGTTGAATAACTAAAATTCATCTTGTATGCTAACCACACATACTTACCACAGAAAATAGTAGACAAACATCAGCTCAAGAACCTCAACGAGATGCTAAAAATGAGCCACCTAAAAAAAAGCCCAATAGTTCTTCAGGCCTCTAAAAATCCGGCTACTTTGCTTACCAACACAGTCTTACTGTCCCTCCCCTGCGTTCTCCCCGTACCCCCTCCTCACAGTCTCGATGTCGCATTGGACTCAGTACCCATTCAGACATTCCTGAAGAACTTGCACTCGGGCATACAACATCACAGGCAGTCATGGACTCTTACTTTTGAGAATTCTCAAAAGTAAAACCCATGCATACATACCACAGCACCATAGAATCCAGGCTCGATAACCCCAAAGAGATACGAGAAGTAGCTCTCCTGCCTGTGCCATGCGATGCCATGCCATGCCATGCCATGCCGTGTCATCATACCATGCCGTGCACCATGTCAGATACACAACAGGCACAACAGACAGAAGATGGAGGGAGGATACGGGGAAAATATATGACACCATGGCGACAGGAGGTAACAAGTCACAACTGATACTGAGGAGAACCCATACCTGCTCCAGACCCATAACTTAAGCCTTACGACACCTACCCTCACCTAAAGACATCTTCATGGTCCGTGCAGTGGCGCATCTGAGACTCCCCACCCTGCTTGCATGGAGAGGAAGAAGGGATGGAGAGGGAAGTGTGATGGGATGGAAAAGTATGCAAGAAGAGGGTTCATGATGTACGCTGTAGCTTGAGGGGTACGAAATGGTTTGAAGGGTCATAGTTCCTCGCCGAAATTCCAGCCCGTGCAATCATTCGGGAATAATGAAGATAAGTTTCTATTCTTCATGGCTCTTCCCACCTGTAGGAACACGATGGCATGCTCTTCCCGGCCTTGCAGCTTGGCTCGCATCCGCTCTGCGAGCTTCTGGCGATTTTCGTTAAACATGGTAACTGGAACTTTGAGGGTCTGTTTTCCGCGCCAGAGGAATCCGTCGGACCACGAATCCGCGAGGGAGGTGCTGGTTGCTTCTTTCGCCATGTGCTCTCCGCTTGCGGCCATGATGACGAAAATCGCAAGAAGGGGATGCGAGAAATTGTGAAACAGGAATCAGCTGGGTGAATTTCAGGCTGCTGCAGCACAGGTTTCAGGAAGATACCACGCCAATGAAGGAATTGTGGGGGGAATGTGCTGCCATGGAAGAATCCTGTAAGGAATTCGTACGCATTATGGGTGACCTGCTGCATGTACAACCACTCATAGTCGGATACATATTTTATTTTAATTTCATAAGCTTCTGAGACAGGTGGCACTGTACTTGCTAACTTCGATGTTGGAATTCAATCCACGTCATTGCCGTCAGTAGTGTCGTTGCACGGCACGTGGAAAGGCATATTCGAACATACCGAAAACACCAGATTCGCGCGTCAGTTACCAGATTCTACCCGTTATTGCACCATAATGTGAGCGACCAATCAGAATCCAGCGTGACAGGACTTCGACCCTCCAGCTGGCATATCCACATCAGCCTCATCTTTTCGCCCCTCACATCAGCAGCAGCAAGCAATTTCAAAGCTCCTTCGTAGAAGCAAATTTGGCATTTCTGCGTTGTTTACTCTGCTGCTCGTCACGCCTTAGGATCTCCATCGCTTTCGTTCGCCTCGAGCATCGCATCCCCCAATCCTAGCTGCGAAACCTGTTGATCTGAACCGAGCAGCCATGGCGTGTATCGCTCCAGCAGTTGCGTCGATGCAAGCAGCAACGAGCGCGAGATTGCAGAGTCCGCTCGCTTCTGCCTCCGCAGCTTCCTCCTCCAAGGCCAGCTTGAAATGCGCCGCTTCCAGCTCACGCGCTCTCCCATCCATCACCCCTTCGCCGCTTTCTCAACACGTCGTCAGTCAAATCAAGAGCTCTCTGCCTCGGAAATACCGACGATCCGCCTCCGTGTATGCCACGTCAACGACCGAAGCTTCCACGCAGGCTCCTGAGAGCAGCAGCGAGAGCAGCGGCGGGCCGTCGAAGGGACGCGTGATGGTGATTGGCGGCGACGGATACTGCGGGTGGGCGACGGCGCTGCACCTATCAGAGCAAGGCTATGACGTGTCCATCGTGGACAATCTCAGCCGTCGGTTGTTTGACGAGCAGCTCGGATCGCAGACCTTGACGCCGATCGCATCCATCCACGATCGCGTGCGACGCTGGCGAGAGATCACGGGGAAAACGATCGCACTGTACATCGGCGACGTGTGCGACTTCGAATTCCTCGCAGACGCGTTCCAGACGTTCGAGCCGACGGCCGTGGTGCACTTCGGTGAGCAGCGGTCGGCGCCCTACTCGATGATCGATCGCAACCGCGCGGTTTTCACGCAGCATAATAACGTCATCGGTACTATCAATGTTATGTTCGCGATTAAGGAATTCGCTCCCGAGTGCCATCTGGTGAAGCTGGGGACGATGGGCGAGTACGGAACGCCGAACATTGACATTGAGGAGGGCTTCATTACAATCACACACAACGGCAGGACGGACACGCTGCCGTACCCGAAACAAGCCAGCTCCTTTTACCACCTCAGCAAGGTACGCTCTCGTGGTGTTATGTCTGTATCTGCAAATTTGTCTGTATCTGCAAATTTGTCTGTATCTGCAAATTTGTCTGTATCCATGTCAGGAGAACATTCTCCGTACTGTTGACGCGTTTTTATCATTTTCAGGAGTGACTGTTTTCTTCTTCTGTTACCACAGGTGCACGATTCGCACAACATCGCGTTCGCGTGCAAGGCGTGGAACATGCGCGCGACGGATCTGAACCAGGGCGTGGTGTACGGCGTCGCGACGCCCGAGACGGAGAAAGACGTCATGCTCATCAATAGGCTGGACTATGACGGCGTCTTCGGCACCGCTCTCAACCGATTTGTAGTCCAGGCGGCTGTGGGGCACCCGCTGACCATCTACGGCAAGGGCGGCCAGGTGAGGGGGTTGGGATGGATAGAGGCGAGGGGAAAGAATGGAATGGAAAGACGCGTGAGGGGGTGGAATGGAAAGGTGGGCAGACGATGTACGAGGAAGAACGAGTAGAATGCTGGGCGAGGGCGAGAGGAGACAAGACAGGCTTGGTCACTACGAGAGCGCACGGAGAGGGGGTGTGCGTGTGTATCGCGCGCGTGCGAAAAGGAAACGAAACAGGAGTTGGGGTTGGAAGGCGAGCTAGAGAGGCTCGTAAGATCCGACTGATGATCATGAAGCAGTCCGACTGACATACTGTAGGCGAGATGACTTGTGAGGTGACTTGTGAGTCGACTCAGAACCATGAAGCCATACCATGAAGCCATACCATGAAGCAGACCTCCTCAAGCCGACAGGCTGCAGGCAAGCCCACTTTTTAGTAGACTCTGTAACTTACAAGCAACATAGAAGAAAATTGGGTACAGATGGTCTGAGTTTAGCGTACGAGGATACGGCGCTCCGTCCCCGTGTGCAACCACTGACTCACTGCCCACATGTCCCTCACCAACACGTCCCCCTGTACCCACCACACCCCATCCCCAACCCGTCCCACCAACAACTTGCTCCCGTATGGTCCCCCCTCCCCACCCAGTGTCCCTTCCCCGCGCTCAACCACTGACTCACTGCCCACATGCCCCTTACCAACACCCCACATCCCCCTGTACCCACCACACCCCATCCCCAACCCGTCCCACCTACAACTTGCTCCCGTATGGTCCCCTTTCGCTGGCCCCCTCGTCCGTCCCCTCTCCGCGCCCTCCCGTTTCCATTGTACCCTTGTCCCCGCACACCCGCTTGTATCTTGGAATCCAACCAGGCCAACCCCGCCAAGCCAGGCGAGTTCCGCGTGTTCAACCAGCGTCTCTCTCAAACAACCTCCCCTTTTCGTCCACTTTCCCCTCCCCCCCCCCCCACACCCAAAACAATCACCCTCCCCCCCTCTTCTCCCCACAGACTCGCGGGTGTCTGGACATCCGGGACACGGTGCGGTGTCTCATCCCCACAGCTCTGCGCAGAGCTGGCAATTGTCAAGCCAACCCCGCCAAGCTGGGCGAGTTCCGCATGTTCAACCAGCATCCCTCCCGCCCATCCCTCCCACACCCAACTCCCTCTCCCTTCCTCTTTCTCCCCCTGCAGACCCGCGGGTACCTGGACATCCGTGATACCGTACGATGCGTCGAGCTTGCAATTTCCAACCCCGCCAAGCTGGGCGAGTTCCGCGTGTTCAACCAGTTTACGGAGCAGTTCTCTGTGCGGGACCTGGCAAGGCTGGTGACAGCAGCAGGGGAGAAGATGGGCATTGAAGTGAAGTCCATCAACGTGCCCAACCCCCGTGTCGAGGTGCGTGTACTGTGCTGTGTAATGCTGTTTGGCCTGACTTGAAAGGGTGCTACCAGTCCACGGAGCAGTTCTCTGTGCGGGACCTGGCTCGGCTGGTGACAGCAGCAGGAGAGAAGATGGGCATTGAAGTGAAGTCCATCAACGTGCCCAACCCCCG